GGTTAGACGAAATACTGAAATCTTTCCCACATTCCAGACACTCGTATGGTTTTCTTCTGTGTGAGTCCTCTGGTGTATCACCAGTTAGGAATTGACACTGAAACTTTTCCCACAATCAGGACATTAAAAGGGTTTCTCTCCTGTGTGAGTCCTCTGGTGGCCAATGAGGTGGAAATTCTGTCTGAAACGTTTCCCACAATCAGGACATTCAAAGGCTTTCTCTCCTGTATGAGTCCTCTGGTGTTTCACCAGGTTGGAATTCTGACTGAAACATTTCCCACAATCAGGACATTCAAAGGGCTTTTCTCCTGTGTGAGTCCTCTGGTGTATCACCAGGCTGGAATTCTCAGTGAAACATTTCCCACAATCAGGACATTCAAAGGGTTTCTCTCCTGTGTGAGTCCTCTGGTGTTTCACTAGGCTGGAATTGTGACTGAAACCTTTCCCACAATCAGGACATTCAAAGGGTTTCTCTCCTGTGTGAGTCCTCTGGTGTTTCACCAGGCTGGAATTCTCACTGAAACATTTCCCACAATCAGGACATTCAAAGGGTTTTTCTCCTGTATGAGTTCTCTGGTGGCCAATGAGATGGGAACTCTGACTGAAACTTTTCCCACACTCAGGACATTCAAAGGGTTTCTTTCCTGTGTGAATCCTCTGATGTATCACCAGGTAGGAATTCTGACTGAAGCTTTTCCCACATTCAGGACATTCAAAGGGTTTCTCTCCTGTATGAGTCCTCTGGTGGATAATGAGGTGGGAATTCTGTCTGTAACGTTTCCCACACTCAGGACATTCAAAGGGTTTCTCGCCTGTGTGAGTTCTCTGGTGTATCACCAGGCTGGAATTCTCACTGAAACATTTCCCACAATCAGGACATTCAAAGGGCTTCTCTCCTGTGTGAGTTCTCTGGTGGCCAATGAGATGGGAACTCTGACTGAAACTTTTCCCACACTCAGGACATTCAAAGGGTTTCTTTCCTGTGTGAGTCCTCTGGTGTATCACCAGGTAGGAATTCTGACTGAAGCTTTTCCCACATTCAGGACATTCAAAGGGTTTCTCTCCTGTGTGAGTCCTCTGGTGTTTCACCAGGCTGGAATTCTCACTGAAACCTTTCCCACAATCAGGACATTCAAAGGGCTTCTCTCCTGTGTGAGTTCTCTGGTGGCCAATGAGATGGGAACTCTGACTGAAACTTTTCCCACACTCAGGACATTCAAAGGGTTTCTTTCCTGTGTGAATCCTCTGGTGTATCACCAGGTAGGAATTCTGACTGAAGCTTTTCCCACATTCAGGACATTCAAAGGGTTTCTCTCCTGTGTGAGTCCTCTGGTGTTTCACCAGGTTGGAATTCTCACTGAAACATTTCCCACATTCAGGACATTCAAAGGGTTTCTCTCCTGTGTGAGTCCTCTGGTGTTTTACCAGGCTGGAATTCTCACTGAAACGTTTGCCACAATCAGGACATGCAAACTGTTTCTCTCCTGTGTGAGTCCTCTGGTGTATCAGCAGGCTGGAATTTTGACTGAAGCTTTTCCCACATTCAGGACATTCAAAGGGTTTTTCTCCTGTGTGAGTCCTCTGGTGTATCAGCAGGCTGGAATTTTGACTGAAGCTATTCCCACATTCAGGACATTCAAAGGGTTTCTCTCCTGTGTGAGTCCTCTGGTGTATCACCAGGTGGGAATTTGCTGTGTAACGTTTCCCACAATCTGGACACTCATATGGTTTCTCCCTCGTGTGAGTCCTCTGATATATCACAAAGTTGCCATGCTTGCAAAAGCATTTACCACATTGGGAGCAGTTGTAGGGCATCTCTCCTATGAGGATCCTTCTGTGAATTGCAAGGGAGCTATTCTAAAGTTTCTTTAGAAAAGAAGTTTCTAAAGAAAGTTCTAAAGTTTTGCCACATTCAGAGTATTTATATGGCTTTTGTTGTGTATTTTTTTTTAAAATTTGATTTATATGCCGCCCTTCTCCAGAAACTCAGGGCGGCTTACAATGCGTTAAGCAATAGCCTTCATACTTTTGTATATTTATACAAAGTCAGCTTATTGCCCCCACAAACTGGGTCCTCATTTCACCTACCTTAGAAAGGATGGAAGGCTGAGTCAACCTTGAGCCTTGGAGAGATTCGAACCAGCAGTAAATTGCAGGCAGCTGTGTTAATAACAGGGTGCATAGACCACTATACTATCAAGGCTCTATCAAGTGTAGATCCTCTTGTGATTTGAACTCTTTACTTTTCCCATAATAGGCACATATATGGAGCTTTTCCATCAGTGACATTCTTGAGGAGGTCAATATTATGTATGATTCCTTATTTTGTTGGTGTCTGCATTACTGGCTGCTATATGTGACTATCCAATTGACATTTTCTTCCCCACTGGCTTCCAGATATTTTCCTCTTTTTCTGAACGGAAAAATGATCTCCTTTGACCTTTTCAAGTAACGTATTCTTAAATTCTATATAATCTACTTTTTCCAGCTGCAAATCTCTTCATGATTTTCTCTTTTCTGTCTCCTATCTGCTGATGAAGTAGACGAATTCTGTGGTTTTCTGAAGGAAATAGAACATATTTTTATTTCTGCTTCAATTTGCTTTGCTTTTCAATGTTGCTTGTTATTCTCAGTTGTCCAGTGTGCTTATATTGGCATCCTCTTTGTCTGTAAGATTCAACAGAAAGTGTAAGTTTTATTCTTTATGAAAGGGTTGCAGAAGATGTGAAAAAAAGAAGTACAGGTAATCCTTTAGGTACGACTTGCCATTCAACAAATTTCTGAACACTCCTCCAAATGCTAAATATGAATCTGCTCCAAAGTTGAATTTTTGCAGCGCCTCCCACCCCGAGGTCCTTGACTCCTTCACTGCAGAGATGCTGCAGCATACCCACCCACCTATTTCCCTTCCATCTTGCCCAGTCAGTCCTCACAATCCCCCAGACCCCAGTATGTTGGCCTGCTTTGCAATATACTATGCATTCCTCCCCAACCCCAGTCCCCCATCACCATTCACTTACAAAATTTCTGACAAGCTCAGGAAGTCAGCTGGGCCTCATGGCATAATCAAGAAGAAGAAATATAAACTCTTTTCTTTCCATGGCAATCCTTTCACTCCAGCCAGCATAAATCGTTAGTGATTTACGCTGGCTAAGGAGGAAAGGATTGCCATGGAAGCAAAAGTGATGAGATTTATTCTTTGCTCTACCAGCACAACACTAAGGTAAAGCTACTGCTAGTGGGGCTAAGAAGAAATCATGCCTTTTTTGCTTCCGTTGTAATCCTTTTCTTTCCAGTTAGCATAAACTACTACGATTTCTTCTTAGCGACACCGGCACTAGTTTTATGCTGGCAAAGAGATCTAAGAAGATATTGTTGTGGTTTACCCTGGCTGGGGAGGAAAGGATTGCCATGGAAACAAGAGATCAGATGTCTTCTTTGCTCTATCTGTGCTAGCTTTACAGTAGTCTTACGCTGGTAGAGCAAAGAAGAAATCCCATCTCAAGGTTTGCAATAGCAAAGTCCAGACTTCACCCCAATTGAAATCCTGTGATGGGACCTCTCGAGAGGTGGGCATAAACAAATGCCCACAAACCTCAATGAACTGAAACAATGTTGTAAAGAAGAGTGGGCCAAAATTCCTCTGCAACAATGCAAGAGACCGTTTTTGGTCATACAGGAAACAATTCCTTGAAGTTATTACTGCTAAAGGTGGCTCTATAAGATATTGAATCATTAAGGTGTTAGTTTTCACATGTGGCTCCTCCATTTTGGCTTTCCTTTTGTAAAATACATGGTGACCAGTGGTGGGTTGCTACCGGTTCGGCCCGGTTCGGCTGAGCCAGTAGTAGCGGTGGCAGGAGGCTCCGCCCACCCGCCCGGACATCATCAAATACACTCTGTGCATGCGCAGAAGTGGTGAGTGTGCATGAACCGGTAGCAAAGGTAAGTGAAACCCACCACTGATTGTTACGTGATGTAATATGTCATCTGTTGTTGTTCATCTGAAGTTGTATTCACCTATTTTTAAGAGCGTACAGACCAGATGATTTTTAGTATGTCCTGATACATAAAACTATACAACTCAAAGAGGGTGTACATTGTTTTTCACATGACTGAATATCTAGAAGCACTGGGGATAGATTATCCAACTGCAGAGAGAATTACATTTATACCTACAAATGTATATATGTGAAAAATCCATGTTTTCAGCCTGAAAAATGTCCCAAAATGGTTACAATTAAACCTTCTGAGCTAAATTTAGAGATGTGGGGGCTTTAACTGATGAAATGATGCCTAAAGCCTCTGCAAAATTTGAAACACCAGTTATACCGATGGAAGTCCTCAGCTCCAGATAAGAAAATACTGTCCTCCTGTCCACAATTCCTCTGGTGACATTCCCTTTCAAGGAGTCCTCACATTTGGGACTGGGATCTGTGTCACTAAGCAATCTGATCATGAAGCATGATGTCACATAACTGCCAACTTACATCTGTTCCTCTGGCGTTGTTAAGCAAACCACTGTGGGTTGTTAAAGGCAGTTTCACATGACTGTCACTTGCAATTTCTTGCCGTCATCATCCTCACTAACTTTGCCTATGAGAAACAAGCTGGGAAGGTCAAAAATGGGGATCATGATTGTGGGATGTTGCGACCATCTTAAATGTGCATCTGTTATATTCATAACTGTGCGTGGAAATCAACTGAGGCGAGACTAGCTCAATACAACTAGATTTATTGCTAACATCACAAGTAACCAGAACGCTTCAGAAAACACTTACAACAGAGCCTCCTATTTATACATCGGCTGTCAGAAGAAGCTAACCAATAATAAACACTTGTGCTTCCCTCCAAGAGAGCTGTCATTTCCATAGCCAATCAGAAACGCCTCCTGGTTGCTGGCAGCAACGGGGCAGAGGACGCTACACATCGGTTGGCAGCATCCAAACCAAATAGCCCAACTGGCTTCTGGCCTCTCCTCCAACTTGCCCTCAACTCACCTTCCAGCTGATGCTTCAACTTCTGGAAGAGCACAAAAGCCGCTCTGCAAGCCACCTTCCACCCATGAGGGATCCGGTACAGGAAGTTCCTCTGGGCTTCTCTTCTTCCTCAATCCTTTCTAGCAATACAGTACTTGATGGTTTTAACTCCTTTAAGGATCAACCACAGATGCAGCTACTGTATTGACGGCTTTGTAGGCGCAGAAGTGATTGCCATCTCCCGACAGGAGGCGAAAAAACACGCTTGTCCCGTCTCTGCCTAAGGCGTTTGCAAGATGTTGTCACTGATTATATGCTATCAAGTTGTTTTAGACTCCTAGCATCCTATCTTTGCAAAAGAGCCAAGTAAAAGAGTGAAATGTGAAGCTACTTAAGCTTCTGAAGATGAGCTACATGCTGAGCCCTAAATGTTCATGAAGTTCTTACAGAATTACAGAGTAAGAGTTGGAAGGGACCAACTCTCCAAGCAGGAGAACCTATATCATCCCAGTCAAATGGCTCTCCAGTCTCCTCTTAAAAGCCTCCACTGATGGAACAACCACAGATTGCAGAGGTAATTTGTTCCACTGATTAATTGTTCTCAGTGACAATTTCTTCTTAATTCTAGGTTGGATTTTTTTAAAAATAATTCTCCCTCTGTTACTTTTTGTCCTAGACACAGAACTGCGACAACACCAAGTCTGTGACTTACAGATAGTCCTCGTCTTACGACCAGCCATTTAGCAACCATTCAAAAAACAATTTATGACCCAGATTTGAACTTCTGAGGACTGGGGGCGGAGGGGCTCCACCCAGGGTCACATGACATTTTGGGTGCTTGGCAACCAGCCAGCAGTTGTGGCCTTTCATCGCATCCTGCAGTCACATGACCATGATGTACATTTTTGCCAGAAACTCATGCTTATATCCCTAGTGAACAATGGGTTTGCTTAATGATTGTAGCATTCACTTAACAACTGCCGTGTTTGAATGAAATTGAATCAACTGGGTAGGGAATCTATGAGTCACCACAAAAAGGGGTATGCAGAAGTAAACTCAAGTGCCCCACTGACCACTCAGTAACAGTAACAGAGTTGGAAGGGACCTTGGAGGTCATCTAGTCCAACCCCCTGCTCACGCAGGAGACCTATATTAGGGATTTGAACCACCAAACTGCCGACCTTTCTAATCGACAAGCTCAGTGTCTTAGCCACTGAGCCACCTAGTCAGACTGAGCCACCTAGTCAGGCTGTTTGTTTTACAATTGTTGCATGCGCTTAACAACTGCCACCAAATAGGTTGTAGAACTGGGCACATTGTGTGGTGACCCATTAATGACCGTCATGACTTAGGACTGTAATTGCAGGCTAAATTACAGTTGTAAATTAAGGATTTCCTGCATTTCCAATGTTGCTTTAATCCTGGTCATTGAAAAGCTACCCAGGTGTTAAGATCTTAACAGTGCATCTGGAAAGGAACTAAGCTAATACAGGCAGTCCTCCACTTACAAGTTCATTTACTGACTGTTCAAAGTTAGGATGACACTGAAAAAAGTGACCTATGACCATTTTTCACACTTACAACCATGGTAGCATCCCTATGAACAGTGATCAAAATCCAGATGCTTGGCAACTGGTTCATACTTATGACCATTGCTGTGTCCCAAGGTCAGGTGATTGCAACCATTTGAAAAGCAAACTCAATGGGGAAGCCAGATTCACTTAACAACCATATTACTAAATTATCAACTGCAATGATTCACAGTGGCAAGTAAGGACATAAGATGGGGTATAACTCACTTAACAAATCTCTCACTTAACAATGCAACTTTTGGGCTCAATTGTGGTCGTAAGTCAAGGACTACCTGAAATTTTGACTGGTGGAAAAAGACTGTGTTTTCCTGCAGCAAGAGTCTCTTCTGACACACCTGACAAGGTTTGGGGATTGTGCATTTGCACATAAACCAAGGATTGTTGTGCATCACAACAACTGAATTTGTCAGTTGGAAAGCTGACAGTCTGGGTTTGAAACCTGTGCACCACAGGACAGGTTGAGCTCCTGTTACTTGCTCCAGCTCCTGTCCACCTAAGAGTTCAAAAGCTTGCAAATGCGAGTAGATAAATAGGTACCACTTTGGTGGGAAGGTAGTATTCCATGCACAACAGCATATAGTCATATTGGCCACAAGGCCATGGAAGCATCTTCAGATAACATTGGCTCCCTCAGCTAAAAAACAGAGATGAGCATCATCCCCCAGAGTCAGAAATGACTGAACAGGGGAAACTTTTATCTTTAGTAAAGTGCAATACAGGTAGTACTCAACTATATAATTACCATTACTTCTCTGTGCTACCTATTCTAAGTTATCCTAAATTTAGGCACTACTTTCTCCCACTGTTAACAAAATATCAATCATAGTTGTGGGAAATTTGAAAATAACTTTCACAATTGATTATACTGTTAAAACAGACAAAGCAATTCTAAAGACTAAAGCACAAAAAAAGAAAACTAACTCTGTATTCTTTTTTTTAAAAAACGTGATACGCTCTCCCCACCCCGACTCCCAAATCAGGTAATGGAAAAGAGAAGGGAACCCTGGGAGGAAATAACAATTTGAAAAGTTTGTATGTATCTGTGATTAATTCCAAATGTTAAAGGTGAACATGGTTCCTGTGGTCTGCAATTTTTCCTCTGGAATATCCATGAACATGAAATTTTAGCTTTAGCCATTAATTCCTATACATTATCCCGTAGTCCTTTTTTGATGAAATGCTGATGACACACTCTTGGAAAATAAATAATGAGGATCAATGTTAATCTGACTAATCTTTTGAGTCACCTATTTATACCATTAAAAAAAACCATTAAAATTTAAAAAAACAAAAGTTGGGATATTTCGGACATGTGATGCGACATCCAGAAAAATACAGCACACTTCATTTAATCCTCCAGGGAAGGATTGAAGGCAAACGAGCTCCAGGCAGAAGAACATCATGGTTTCAAAATCTAAGGGACTGGTTTGGACAAAATTCAGCAGCAGTTTTTCGTGCAGCTATTGATAAAAATTGGATTGCCAACATGATCGCCAACGGCTTATGACGGATATGGCACAAGAAGAAGAAGATTTATATCATATCAAATGTTTCAAAAACTTCCCATCCTTGTAATGGTAGTGAGAGTAGTTTGAAGCCATTTTTAAAAATGTATCCCTCCTTTCTGCAAGTCAGACAAGAAGAAAGAGCTGGAAAATGCCAGAATCAGTAAAGTTCATTATTACCATAGTAAAAATAAAAAAAGGAGAGACCTTATGGATAAGGAAGTGCACCCCTCATAATAATTCTAATTTTTTAAAAAAACCTTGAATTCTGTCTAGTGATACTTGAAAAATGCCACAAAGAGTGCTGGACTGGTGTACTATTGAAATTGAAATTTTAAATTTACATTGAGGAGGGAAGGGAAGCTGAGGAAGACAGATCGGTCGTAGAGATACAGAATGCACAAGAAGAACAATGGTAGTTTGTTAGAAACTATTATATGTGTGGAGACCTTGCAACTGAGCAAAAGTTGACAAAAGATGTTTATCTTACCTTTTTATTATTAAATTTATTGATTAATAAATTTATTTGCTGTCCATCTCACAGTTTGAGGCAAGTCTGAGCATCTTGCCTTACCCAACTGTTCATAGCAATACTGACACTACCCATTTTTTCCTTGTCAAAAGTCTTGTTCTTACACAATGCGTTTTTTAAAATGAAACATTTTCCATTGTACATTTTTTCCCCTCATATCACCAACTCAAAGGGGGATGCCACATGTACGTCAGCAATATGGTGCTGCTGTCACCCAGCAGCCATCAAAGGGTAACAAGCAGGCATTTCCAAGAAGAGGAGATCACAGCAGGAGTTGCTAATAAACCTGGAGATCTTGTGATTAAAGCCACGATCCCTTTTCTCCTCAACTCAGTATTCCTACAGCTCTTCTCCACCAGGTTCATCTGCACGGCAGAAAAGCTTTTCATTTGAAATGTTACACTGCTTTTTTTCACTGGGCCTTGGGCCTACTCCTCACAAGCCCATCACCGGCGCCGGCTGTATTAGACGGACTGTTCTGCGCCTAATGCCATCGATGGGCGCATGGAGATCTGATGGGCGATTAAGACCTGAGCTCGATTCCCTGCACCCTATGTAGATGGGGCCCCGATCCCATGTTGAACATCTAAGGACTTTGGCTGGAAGACCAGCATGTTTGGACTTAAGACGAGCAAGTGATCACGGACTTTCCCTTTCCACCATGGTTTGGCCTAGCTTCTGGGGCGATGACTTCCACCGCCGTGAGAGGGTGGTGAAACCGGCCATGCTGGGGTGAGAGAGCAGCAATTGACCGAGAGTCTCGCCCAGGTGACCACCCAATGAATAAATTGGGACTTCGCCGCGGTGAGAGAGCGGCGATGTTTGCCCACTTATGTCCCCCTGGGTGCCGTGAGAGGACACCCAGGAGTGGGGGCTCCCGACAGTTGGGGTAGCTTCGGCCTGGTCCATCTGTTTCCCACTTCACCATTGTCGTGCCCGTACCCAGGGCTGATGATGGCTATACAGACTTACACAAGAGCGGACTTATACACTTTGAGGAATGCCCCCCATTTCTGGAAGTGGCCTATCGGCCTAGCCAAAGAGTACCTTAATGACGGATCTTGGGATCCTGAGAGGTGGCATGAGGGTGTTAAGGTTTTTAAAAGTTCTTTGTACTCCTTTTTAACAAGGTTTTTAGGGGGTCTGGGGAGGGGGTGGGGTTATGATACCCGGTGGGGGCAAGGGGAGGCTCCTCCAGGTTGTTGGCAGTCCAGGTCAGGGGAGAGTCATGGTATGGTGGGAGCAGGGGTGGGGTCCCCTGGGACTCCACGAGGGGGGGGGAAGGCTCTGATCCCTGTTGCGATGGGGAATGGCCGCAACGGGTCGAATAGGAGGCGGTATCGGAGGTTGGGAGTGCGTCCCCGCTATCTTTATGCGGTGGCTCGCCCCGACCCCAGGGATGCCGCCTCCCCCCCAGGGGTCTGAGAGAGAGATCACCTGGGTTTAGGCTGGTTTATTTTAATGCCAGGTCCGTGGTTAACAAAACTCCCCTCATCAGTGAACTGATCGAGGAGGAGAATGCGGACCTGGCTTGCATTACGGAAACCTGGCTGGGCTCAGAGGGTGGTGTCCCTCTGAATGAACTCTGCCCGCCGGGTTTTCGGGTACTACATCAGCCGACGTCCCAGGGGAGGGGTGGCGGTTGTTATTAGGGAGGCCCATGGTCTGTGGGTGGTCACTGCTCCTCAGATAGACAGATGTGAGTCCCTCCTCATGAGATGGGGACCGCAAGGTCAGTTGGCCCTGTTGATTACGTACCTATATCCCAGCTGCATATCAACGGCCCCGCCCTCGCTGCTAGACGCCATATCGGGGCTGGTGGTTGAGTTTCCCAGTCTTATTGTGCTGGGGGACTTTAAGCTACCTTCCCGGGGGGAGGGGGCGCCGGGAGCAGCCCGGGAGTTCATGACTTCCATGGCGGCCATGGACATGACACAGATAATACAGACCCCGACTCATCAGGGGGGACACACGCCCGATCTAGTTTTTATCTCAGAGCAGTGGCGAAATGACTTCGGTGGGGGTGAGCCAGCTATTCAACTCCTGTCATGGACCAATCTCTATCTCCTTAGGCTGGGCTTCCATTATGCCGCCCCCCCGCCACTGGGAGGCAGAACCAACCACCTGGTTCTGCCCCAGGCG